AGGCATCACAGATGTCAACTTGCATGTTCAGGGACAAAAGCATTAATCCATGGGACCAGCAAGATTCTCAGTGTTGCATTATGGTCTCCACAGAAGAACACTTAGCTTGAAATACTGAAATACTGAAATCTATGTGATCTTTTTGACTTGCTGAAGTCAAGGTGAAACACTTGAACAATGTGTGTTCTGGAGAGTTCAAAACTAGTGTAAAAATATTCCTATTATCTTAAAGCAAAAAATAAGATTCAACACAACTTTTTTTTAAAAAAAAGAAAAAAAGAGAAAGTTGTAGTTCTTTTCTTCTTTAGGCTTCAAAGATCTCCTTTTCAATATAACACACAAATATTTTATGGCTGATTTTTAAATGAAGACATATCATCAGATTTTCAATGGCATAATTTGCATGCTCAAATATTGTTTGCTACTATGTTTGAAAATATTTTAAGCATCCAAATTTAAATATTAGGGTTTTGTAAGATGCTCCTGAAATCCATTCTTGAACACTACCTACATCGTCATAGACTATGACCAGTATAAAGGTGAGTACATGAAAACTCTATTGTGGCTAAGCATTAAAAATCAGTCTTAGCAAATGATTTGCACTGAAATAGTAGTTCATCAGTCAGGTGGAAAAAAAAGAAATATAAACAAACTGATTAGTATTTAGCAGTTAGGATGTTTCCAAATCATGCTTTTGTATGATCTAATGTTGTATAGCTTCTGAAGGGCTAAATCTACGGTTGATGTAACATGATACAGTTACATAGATTTAATTCTGTATATCTAACCTGAAGGTATATTTTCAAAGCAACTTATGCATGTATGTTTATACAAGAATAGTAGATTAGATGAATCTTTCACTTGGCAGTAGTGAAACATTAGTAATTCAGATATTTTAAAGAACACAGAAAAGGTCTGGTTGCAGAAAAGACTGATCAGGTGTCTGGCTCTCACTGGCATCTTCAGGGGATGTTGGTGGGATCTCACAGTGTGGGAGTGGAGGGAAGTGTCTGCTTCTCTCCTTCTAGAATGTACACATGGAAACCTTTGCAGTACCAGGCACTGGGGAGCTTCTAATAGAGACATTTGTAGTTTTCTGGTTTTCAGAGCTTTCTGAGGATTTCAGTTTGACTGGATAGGTTTTCTGGAAAGAGGGAACTTCAGAAAATGATACAGATGTCAAACTTATGGTTCGTTTGTGGGATGATAGACAGCTAACAGAAATGTCCTGTAAGCCAGCTGTCCCACCTGTAATTCTTCCTGAAGGGAAA